TTTGTATAAAATATATAGAAGAAAGCATAGTAGTATGCTGCAGTGCATATATACAGTTGACCTATATTGTGAGGTGTTTTATTCTAGAAGTCATAGTTCGTTTTACAAGAACTTATATCAAATTTTAAAAAATTGTTTAATGTACAAAAAATGTACAGCCTTAAATTATATAATTCATGTAAAAGAAAATGGATTAATAGTATTACTACTTTACTTTCATTTTCACATAGTGCAAGTAACAAGTGTACAGATGATAGGAAGTTTTACTTTTATCTCCATTTTGTCTATCAGTGTATAAAGAGTTTGTCTGTTTTATAAACGAAGGATATGGTTATATTACAAATGTAATAACACGTAAGAAATAAAAAAGTATAATTTCATAGACTTTATATAATACTCTGTTAATATTAAGGCAGAAATATATATGTATTTAACATATAATGAATTTAATGTTTTTGTTCAAAGGCTGATCAACTCACGGAAGAGCAAATTGCAGAATTTAAGGAAGCATTTTCGCTATTTGACAAAGATGGAGATGGTACCATCACAACTAAAGAGTTGGGTACAGTCATGCGATCGCTAGGTCAAAATCCTACAGAAGCTGAGCTTCAGGATATGATCAATGAAGTGGATGCTGATGGTATTTGATCATAATTATTTTCCTTTGCAATTAATTTATGTTATATTTTATTGTTCATTATGCAACTTTTGTATTCATTTAGATTGCATGCAATATAGATAACATTATTTACAAATTCCTTTTTGCATTTAAAAAACTTGCATAATGAAAGACTAATTGTTTTATATTCTTATCATTATCTCACTATTAAGAATATTGGAAAAAATCTGATTTCAGAAAAAATCGAAACTAAAAATACTTGGAATTGTAGGTAATGGCACAATCGATTTTCCGGAGTTCTTAACCATGATGGCTCGCAAAATGAAGGACACTGACAGTGAGGAGGAAATTAGGGAGGCGTTCAGAGTATTTGATAAGGATGGAAATGGTTTCATATCTGCAGCGGAACTCAGACATGTTATGACAAATCTTGGCGAGAAACTCACCGACGAGGAAGTAGATGAAATGATTCGGGAGGCTGACATTGATGGTGATGGCCAAGTGAATTATGAAGGTTGTAGCCAAACCTTTTTGTTATACATTATAATCTGTTTCTGATGTAATTCAAATTTCAAGTTATTTCTAATTTTTTAAATCTTGTAAACTTTCTCTAGTTAAAAGTTAGAATATAATTCCTAAATTTAAATTGCTCGTTTATAATAACAGGTCTAAATGTCACTGTTTGTTTGCCTAGAATTCGTCACAATGATGACATCAAAGTGAATGCAACCTGTGTAATGGAAAAACTTGCAACTCGGAGTGGTGTTGACGTATTAAAATAAATCAAGAAACAAAGAAAAATATAATGTTAACAAAAAGCGAATCGACCAGAAAGTGAAAAAATCTTGTATCTGGACGCAAAGATGTCTATAAAACGCGATAAGTCAACGTCCAACACGCGTTAATCATCATTAACGATAAGTAATACAGGGCAATTGTTTAATTAAAGAGTTATACCACTAAAATCATTATCTTTAAATACACAAAATACTTAACTACACACAACATCAACATAAAAGTACATATTACACGCGCACATACTCAACACAAAAATTTACGGCACACATATAAACACACATCTATACATAAAAGATGATTTATTTCCATATAAAAAAAGATATAAAAAAATGTTATATATATATGTATATATATGTGTATATATATACATATATACATATATATATATATATGTATGTATGTATAAAAAAACAGGCGCGCATGTTTGTTGATGATAAAAGTAAATGGTATCTTTTCTTACTTTCCTCTCTTTTTGGCCTTTTCCTGTTTCTTCTCTGCATGAGAACTTCTCTGCATGAGACTTTCACATGTATATTTTCTTTGTAAATTCTGCTTTTAAATGTATTGAGAAAAATTATTGACCGATAGATAAGAGAGAGGAAAAGTATTAAAAGAAAGGAAAGATCTGCAAGCTATTATAGCGCATTACATAGGTGCGTTTGTTGATCGAGATGAATTAGAAATTCATTCTGCTTGCTTCTCGATCAAGAATAACATACTTATAATATATGTCATCGATATAACATTTGTCGTAGCAAAAAATTTTATCAGTAACGTACATGTTAAGCGTTTGTTTTCTTTTGCCAAAGAAAATTTGGATTGGACATCGTTTTCCAGAGCTCGAAGAACAACAACGGCTTCGACCTTTGGCTTATCGATGACTCCGTACACGCTGGATTCCTTATTGCGTCATAATGGATAATTTAATTTCTCTAATAGTCGAGAAATGTTATCAAAGAAAAAGTGTATGAGGGTAAATGCAAAAAATGGAGAAACCTCGAGAAACTCAGAGACACGTAGTGCTATCTTGGACCTACATTCACGTAGAGCCAGGGGATTTACGAAATTGAGTTCTATTGAAATCTCGATACTCCTAGTGGAACTTCTCTATGCTTTTTCAACTTTGTTATGCCTTCAATCTATGTATACATGACACGTATTTTAGACACAACACACACACACACACACACAAAAGACATATTTCACCAAGTGCGTTCTGTATCCAATTTCATTATAATCTCCCGTTTGTATCTTATCTCCACTGAGAAAGCCTTAAAACGCGTGCGCGTTACACAACGTCGACACCACTTTTGTTGAAATATAAAAGAAAAACCACAGAGAAAATAGGGATGAGGGATTTAAAAAATGGAGTCAAGTCACAGTGATCGGTGCATTATATTTTCCTTCGCCCAGGGGTGCGTGCCAGTCTCGCAAGCGGAGCAACTAGAACCGGAGAAACTGGTGTGATTTTGTGCGATTCGTACGATAATGTTACTTATGAACTAAGAGTAAAGAACAGACACCGAACGGTGGAAACACATCGTATCGGTGGTTAAGTCATAATATATATGTAATATATATATTGTATATATACATATATGCATATATATATATATATGCATATATGTATATGTATACATATATATGTATATATATGTAAAACTAATTTACGAAAAAAAGGAAGAAAAGAAGAAAGAATTCCTCCACAGTCCTTTATTATTTAATATTGAAGTGAACAAAATGAGAAGTACTTGTATTTCTGGTGACCTAGATCGCATTGATCATAAAAAGACAAAATAAATGTATCCTCATTTTTAGGTCACAACTACTCAATTCGTTTCCTTCATTAACCAATGGACCTCTCGTTTCAGCCGTTTTTATCTTCATCGTCATTTTCGATGGCATCTAAGAATAGTTTGCCGACAAATGTAAATGTATAATTCACTGTCAACAAGATTCGCATTAACATATCTACGAAGTTTCATCGATTCGGAAGCCTTTCATAGAGATATTAAGGCATGCGAATCGCAAAAAAAGAGCTCTTAAAACTATTTTACTTCCCTTGCGATCGTTCTGATAGCTGTTATCGTTATTGTGAACATAAAGTTAAAATTTAGCAGTTTACGGCGAAAATGTTTTCACTTTGAAAAATTGCAAAAAAAGGGAAA